GCGCCTGCGCAAGGCCGCTGATTGGCCCGCGCCTCCCGCCACGCGGTGCTCTTGTGAGGGTGGGGGGGCAGCCTCATGAGGGAGGCGCTCCGGCCGAAGCCTTTCCCGCCTCGCCCCTCCCGGGCGCCCCGCCCACCCCGGTCCGAGGGGCGTGGCGCGGGGGAAACGCCAAGAGCCGCCGGAGCTTCGGTTGCTGGCGCTTTAAAGGGGGGGGGGGGAGGCAAGGCGGCTTCCGTCGGAGAAGCCGCCGCTCTGCCTGCCGCTCCCTGGGCAAGCCCCGTTCCCACCGTGCCCCAGGAAGACGCTGCCTCTCGCCGCTTCTTCCTCCGTGGGCCGCGGGCCCGGTCCCAGCAGAGGCAGCCGGCTTCGCTCCTGTCCCTCGTCCGGGCGGTGCCGGTTCATGGGCCCTTTTGGCCGCCGGCCTGGAAAGGCGCCTCGGGCGGGAGGAGCCCGGGGCTTTTGCAGGGCGCCTTCCAGGAACGCCGCCAGCTTCTCCCGGTCGTCCTAGAAGAGAGCCGCGGGCGAGCGAAGGGAAGGGTGAGGCCCACGGAGTGGCCCCTTGCCGAGGGGGGCTGGCCGGCAGGCTCCCCTCCACGGAGGGAGGCGGCGGCGGCGGTTGACCCTTTGGGCCCCCCCCAGCACCCCCCCCCCCCCACGAAAGGGTCTCCCCAGCCAGGGATCCCGGGGCATAAGGCCCGCCCGCTGCAGGAGAGACGGGTAAGGCCGGCAGCCACGTGGGGCCCCGAGGGCTGCGGCTGTGCTCACAGTGAACCCCCCCCCCCCCCCCGCCCCGGGCCCCGGGCCGGGAAGGGGCTGGGGGGGGAAGTTGGGGAGGCAGGAGGCTCCTCACCTGGCTGATGAATCCGTAGTGCACCAGTTCAGCCGCCTGGTCTCTGCCATTGTCGCCTGTGGACGATTACAAGGTGAAGGGGAGCCTTTGGCCCCCCTGCAAAGCTGCTCCAGGGGCCGGCCCTGGACCCCCCCACCCCTTCAGGAGGAGGGGCCGGAGAACCACTGCAGGGGACCCCCTTGGATGGGGAGAAGGGGCGGTTCGCTCATGGACACCCGAGCCCGGGTTCATGCAGCTGCCCAAGACTGCTTGTGAGGGCGATCCAAGGTGCGGGTTGTCCCTTGTGAAGCCCCTCGAGGCTTGGGTAGCTCTCGGGCTGCGTCTGCCTGTGCTCCTGCCAGAGAAGCTCCCCACAGGGCCCTCCTAGGGAGTGTGGCCCCAGGGCCAGCTTCCCCGGGAGAGACTGGCTTTTGCAAAGCAGTGCCCCTGGCTGCTTCAGTGGACCTTCGGGATCTCCTGTAGGGTGACTGGGTCAAGTGTGTTACAATTCTTCCTCGGCACCAGAAGATTTCATGGCCATGGAGTCAACAGATCCGTGTGAGTGTGAGAGGGCCTAGGATGGCACTGTCCAGATTCTCCTCAGGCCATCAGCACCTCAGGCAGGGATGGGGAGGGCTGCGGGGGGAGACCCGACCCAAGATCAGCTGGCATCACGGCCCATCCCACTCCCTCTCTGCCCCTCGCCCCCAGCAGGACTCACTTGGGAGCAGGTCATAGCTCAGCTGGCAGTGGAGCTTGTCTTCCAGGGTGAGAAGGAGGGTCAGCTGTTAGGGAGGCACAGGCTGGCATGAATTGTGGCCCTCTGGGGCCGGTGAAGAAGAGGAAGGCCCTCCCACAACCTATTCACAAAACTCCTAAGAAAGGATTCTTGGGAAAGCGAACATATAGCGGAGAAGGCTGGTTCTGGTGGTTTGGAGCACAGTTTCAAAAAGAAGCTTTATAAAACAACTTTTCTCCTGCCTGGGAGCCTCTTAGGACTGGGCTGCCTCAGCCCCAGAGGCTCTTTGGCCCCACAGACAGGCCCCCAAGCATGGCCTGATCTCCACTAGGCGCTTGCCTGTGCCCACCTGGTCTGAACCAGAGGGGAACCACCTCCCTGTCCTTAAATCTTCATAGCCCCCACCCCAAGGGGGGCCCCTAAATGCAGGGCAAGCCGAGGGTGTTGGAAAGTCCTGCCTTCCGCTCCTGGGAGGTCTGGCCTGGTGCTCCTCTGGCCTGCAGCTGCAAGCGCTTCCCCGAGCTGCCTTACGTACGTGCCATTGCCGCCTCTCCTCCTGCCACTCCACGTTGCACTGCATTTGCACCACCTGATGGGGGCAGAAGCAGCCCTCAGCAGAAGCCCCCTGCCCCCCCCCCCCCCCGTCACAGCCAAGGCCCTGCTGGTAGCGGGTGCCGGAAGCCGCCCCTCCGCTCCCTGGCCCTGCGTGGAAGCATCTCCCATGGCTGAGAACCCCCTCCCAATAAACCCGCCACATGAGGCAGATTTCTCCTCTGCTCCTGTCAAGGGTTTAGCATCACCATGACACGTCCTGAGGCCCCTGGCCTGACCCCTGGTTGCCTATCCTGGGAAGGATCTGCCCCCCCCCCCCCCCACCCAGGGGAAAACAGGCTGAAGTGGTGCAAAGGGTACAGGAGAGGAGAGTCCTGTGGGCAGCCTCCCTCTTGCCTGCCTGGGCTCCAAACAAGGCAGGGGGGCTGCTGACCCGCCAAAGCCACCTCACCTTCCGCGTCTCCACATCCAAAGGCTCTGGGGTGGGGCTTTGGGCTTTCTGGGGGCCTTCCAGGGCCTGGGAACTGGACGGGGGCAGGATGTGGGGCCAGAAGGTGGCAAAGTTCGTCAGGGGGTAAATGCCATTCCTGGCAGAAAGAGCAGAGAGGTCAGGGAAGGGTTCCAGCAAGGAAAGTGGGGGGGGGGGGTTCTCCATCCCACGCCCAGCCCCTCCCCAGTGCTCCCCCAACCAAGAGGGGTGGCTGCAGAGGGAGAATCGGAAGACGGAGAAACTCACCTGACGTCTTCCAAGAATTTGTCCAATTCCAGGAAAGAGAGCTCTGAATATCTGGGGGGAGGGAGGGGGCGCAAATTTAGGCCAGTTGTCTGTGGCAGCTGCAGCCGCCCAACAGGACCAGAAGGGGTCAAGGCGCCATGGCTGCCAGCAACCCCCCCCCAACCCTCAGGCCAAGGCCGGAGACAGATGCAGCAAGCACGCTGCTTCTGTTTTGCCTGCCCTCTCTGGGCCGCCCCCTGGAGGATGGCGATGGAGACAGCCTTGGGCTGGGCTGGGGGGGCAGGGAGGATCTCTGCCTGCAACCACCCAGGTATCCCAGGTGGCAGGCAGGCACCCTCCATGTTGCAGGGGAGCCTTCCTGGGGAGTCGCTGGTGTACCAGACCCACCTCCACTGCACTGGCAGCCGCCCTGCCCGCCAAATCTCTGCCATCACCTTGCTGAGATCCAGCTCCTTGGTTTTCTCCTCCAGCACATTTTCAGGCCACAGCCTGCAAGACACAGGATTGGTACTCCAAGCCAGGAGCAGCCAGCCTTCTCTACCCAAGGCTGCCCTTCCCCCAGCCTCCCCCCTGAACTCACATTGGTGGGCAATGAAGCAATGGGCAGCCAGGAGCTTCAGGAAGTGGACCTCAAAAAGCACCTGGTGGAAGAGCAGGTCATGGGCCGCAGGGCCCTGGCTGGGAATCAGGAGGAGGCAGCCCAGGATGAATTCCTGCAGGGTGGAGAGGAGGAGAGATGGTTACAGACAGCAACGCCTTCCCTTCCCACTAGGGCAGGCAGCTCAGCCCTGCACAGGGCCAGGTGAGAGTTGACCAGGAAACCGGCTGTGGCATGTTGATTAGGTCTGTGTAGCCCGTCCTGGCAAAGACCAGCCTTGCCAGTGCAACACCCTTCTTCCGGTTGGTGGCGGATGAGAGTCCTCTGGCCCACTAACTCTGAAAGGCTGGCGGGGGCAGCTGGTTAAGCAGGATCTTCCCAATTATGCAGAATGATATTTCCTATGTCTGCTGAAAGCTAATTTATTCTTGCAAACTTTTGGCAGATGCTGAATGTTGAACTGATTGGTTCAATGAATAGAAAGTTCTGCAAGCAAAAGCTTTCTGGCGCTCAGTGGCAGCCAGAAAGGTTCCCTTGAGCCGAGAGGGGCCCGCTGGCATTCCCAGAGCAAGTGGGCGGGCCCTCCAGGCTGAAGACAGACGGCAGACCCACCCTGGCAGAGCCTGGTTGTGGCCCATTTTAGGGTCATCGGAATGGGGCCTCATCAAGCGGGGAGGGGGAGTCTCCAGTGATGAAGATTTGCAGCTTGGTAGTACAGTTCCCAATTAGGCAGGCCAAAACCTCCTCTAATTCTAGCATCTTGCAAAAGCTTTAGCTTTATTCTCGCTTTCTTACCTTGCCATATATACCGTACTTCAGCATAATTTTATTTAAGTCTTCAAAATAGTCTTTTCCGAGCCTAATTGGTATTGTTTGAAACAAAAATAAGATTCTGTGTTAGGTATAACATTGATACCAAATATGGTTTGGGTGAATAAATAT